AGGAGCTTTCCATGGAATGCCTGCTGTATTCATCAAAGCACACCTATACAGACTTCGCGGGGTTGGCCCAGTTCAGAAGCCCCCTGGGGCCACACTGTAAAATTCCCAGTGCCTAGGATTCCTAGTCATACCCCCATCCTTTGGGACATATCTTCCAAAATATCATGCAGCTCTGCATCCTCCTGACAGGAATTCTCTCCTCAGAGGAGCATGCTTTTCTCCAACACAGAGATCCATGACTCTCCTAGAGAGGAAGATGATCCTAGCCCTTGCAGTCCTAGTTACGGCTCAGGGCCCTGGCTTTCTTATCACTTCAGTGTAGACAGGAAGAGTGCTTGGTACAGTGCACCTGCCCCAAACAGCATATGTGATCTCTACGAGGTTGCCTACCTACAAAGATGACACAATTACCATGTCTCCAAATAAGCAGCAGGCAGATAGGTAGCACCCACAGCATAATTTTCAACCAAGATCCAAGAGAAACACCTGAGTGGCAGACAAAGGATGGAGAAGAAGAATGGAAGATGATGATCTGGGACAGTATTCCTCAACCTGTGGGCAGGTACCCAAAAGTGGGTGGCAAGAATCGTGAGCAAGTCCCAGAAGTATGGGAAAGCATGGGCTTCCCTTTGCAGGCTGGCAGCCTTCCAGCCTGCAAGAAGCTGCTTGGGACACTGGAGGCAGCAGGTACATGTGTGTCTGTGTCATGGGAGCAGCCCCAGCAGCTGGATGTGTGGGTCTGGGGTGTGTGGAGGGGACGGGTGTTGTGGGGGGGTGCGCTGCCTGCCAGCACTAGGGGAAAGTGGCTGTGTGCTGAGGTTGCAGCAGGGCAGATGGAATAGGACCCGGGGGTGGGGGGACAGCTGCCCCTCCAGCGGGGGAAAAGGGGCAGGGGGAAAAGTCCTTCAGGGGTAGCAGGGAGATGCATTGTTGGTCCAGCAGCACTGGGACTGCTGCCCTTACTCATAGGGGCAGGGTGGCTGGGAGATGCTGCTCAGGGGGCAGAAGAAGCAATGACCAGGCTGCCAGGTGCGGCACAGCAGCCCCAGCCCAGGGCAGGGAGGGATGCCACCCGCCTCCCCTCCTTCCTCCAGCCCATGCCGGAGCCAGACTCACTCCACTGCCACCACGTGAGCCATTGCCACAGCAGCTACCACACTGTGGACCCAGTGGGATGGGGGCAGCTGAGGATCCCCCTCCAGCAGGGAGCAGGGGAGGGGGCTGCAGGTTGGGAGTCAGGGGCACCAGCATGACCCAGTGGCTGTGGGTCGAGAGTGATGGAACCAGTAGGGCGAGGGGGTTGAGAGTCAGGACAGGCCAAGCCATCAATCTTTACAAAGGGGTCCTAGTACAAAAAAGGTTGAGAACCACTGGTCTGGGAGAAATAAAAGGGAACTGATACAAAGGGAGACCACAATATATATAGGACCCATAGGGACTTTCCTTGACTTTTCACTTCTTGTTTTTCTGGTTTACTAGAAAAAAGAAATGGGAAAAGTGCAGGATTGTCAATGCTTCACTCCAGCTTATGAGGACAGCAAATCAATGTATGGATTACAGGATGATGAGGAGGGAAGTGAGCAGGTTACTAGGAACTGTACATGCTTAATAGGAGGACAGAGACAGTCACCGAGGGAAAAATATCAGAAAAATTGAAAAGTATATTACCTTTCAAAAGGGGCTGGAAAGTTGGTATCTCCTGCAATTTTATGACATCAGGATCATTGCTGACATTTCGTGAGGACTGAGTTCCCTGGGCCACCACAACAATATCATCCATTTTAGCACGGTGCTTAGCTGGAGAAGGGGATGCTGGGGGAAAAAAACCCCAAATGTAAAATCAGACATAGCTGTATATAGAGGTGAACCAGCAAATTCTTTTATGTCTGATCTGCTTCATTTGATGCCAAGAGGAAATGACAGCTGCAAGTGCAGCATATTAATGTCAAGTTTCTATAGTCACCATCACTGTGGCACTGAGATATTTCCTTAAGTAAAATCCATAGTGGACTTCACTACTAGTTTCATAGTAGCTAGGGTCAGGAGGGACCTGAACAGATCATCTAGCCTG